TATATATATATATATATATATATATATATATATATATATATATATATTGCTCACCTAACTCGCTTGCCTCCTAGTTTAATCTTTTTTCTTCTGCGCAGCTGAAAGTGATTGAAGCATGGTAGACCGTTGGCAAAAAATAAGATGAATACTCAGAATGATGAAAAACATACCGTTTTGTTTTTCAGGGGAAGGGCATTTATCCATTTGAAATTAAAGTACGGCAACCCTGGCCGTTAGACGAACAAACCACATGATACTTAGTGTGATTCGAGTACATACTCACTGGGGCACGGGTGTATAAGAATTTATCGCTTGAGTCATGCTTCCTTCTGTTTTGGATTGACTATCTTGTGTGCATTCGTGTGGCTTAATCAGGCTATTTCGGTGTTGATTTGTTCTCTAGGCCTTTGGGAATTATTGGATACAATGGTTCGCAGATGATAGAGATTTGGCCGCTTTAGAGAAGCAAGTGAACAATGATACCATCTGGAGCAATGCGACCGAACGAGACAGAATCCTACGTGAGGTTGGAAACCAAACACTTCATTACATCTCTGGCTATTCATGGATTGGTCTGGCCCAGCTGTTTGCCATGCTATGCTATTTGATTTGTCATGCAATCGCATGGATTCGAGCGTCCAAAGTGAGTAATACACTGACTTGAGATATCCCATCTCCCCAAAATGTCTTTTTTGAGTGTGTTAAAGCGGATCGGTGAATTCTGAATGCCGCATCACCGTGATTATTGAAGGTCAGTGTGTCACTCATCCATGTCTTATGTCGACGTAACAATATATCTCGACCAATGAAATGTTAGATAGATTGCGCGGTAATCCGGCCATTGTAGTCAGAGAAGTGGTGTTTGTCATTACTACATAAAGGTTGGTTGATCATCGTTCACACAGCGCACTCCTGAAGAGCCGTGACCTTTTCCAAAAGAAAGTTGTCCCCGTCCCGACCGATTAAACCATCGAAACAACCACAGTCATCGCTAGTTGCGTCCCGTCGCAGTGACAACTAACAGTGCTTAAACCTATACGTCAGGCAGTTTGTTGACATTCCTTTTGTAACAATTATCATATATTTCGTTTTGATAAACGTGAGTTGGTCATACAAATGTTTCACGGAAGGCCATAACAATCGTGAGAATTCTACTCAGTTGCTTGATTCAGCCATTGGATCATCAGTAGTTTCTAATACAGGTATACTGTTTGCTTTTTAAGTCATTGGTATGCATTCCAATAGATTCTTTGTGTTTTAAATGTAATTTTTGGTCTTGGATTCCGAACTTATCAGCACCCGTAACTCCTATTGATATGATCAGTGAATAAGACACCCGTATCGCTGAGTAGTCAAATCGGTTATTCATTTGCATTATAATGGAGCTTTCTTTTAGACGAATTCCGGTGAATTGATAACGCGCAGAAGCAAATCTGTGGGAATGGACTCCAGTGTGAAAAACACTTGGAAGCCAGGAAATTCACGTGTTTGGAAGATGCAAAAACATCGTCTTCACAGGGCGATAACGTTGAACAAGGGATTGCTTATTGGTAAAAGCAACGCATGTTTAGCTACAAAAATGTATTCTACAAGCCTGAGTAAGATTTATGCCGGAATAAGTACTCGCTTTGTACCAGAGACAAAATGCAAGAAACCGTCGATTATGAATCCTATTCTACTCAAGTACCTTGATAGTGAAAGTTTGTTTCAACCGCAATAAACGCCGGTAGTTTCTGACAAACCAATAGAAAGGTAGATGGGTGCAAACTACCTCTCTCCATGTCGTGATCTTTTTATTTCTAGGTATTCATCTCCGTACAGCGATGAAAATCGATAGCCTCGATACACATGTTTAGCAGGATTCTTAGAGTTTTAAAGATATCTAAACAAGTGTTCGGTCAGTATTGTACTTATATTATATTTCACGCACATCTGAGGTCAGACTGTGTCAAACAAATGGCGGTACAATAATCTTTATAAAAAGAAATTAGGCCTATGATTTGCTCGTGGGCGCCATACTTTCAGGTTGCCCAGACCAATGCAGGTGAATTTTCTTGGGGAATCCACAACCGGAGCCTTTGGCAAGCCAAAGCCTGACCCGCAAGGCAGCGGGGCAGTGTGTGAAAACCACCATCAATTGGGGCTGGTGTCCAGTTCATCAGGTCACATGCCCTTCGGATGGGGTCAAACGTTCAAGGCGCTAAATACTTCTTGAAACCCGATCGAGCCGACTGCTGCGAAAACAGGGAAGGTGTGTGTGGTTCGTTCGTCTCTTCTTGGTTCACCTAGGTGTTCTGCCAGCAGTTAATCGACCCGACTATGGCCCAGCATCGATCACTGCAACCAGTTTTGTTCTTGTTTTGTGATCATTCAAAAGAACCACAAGCTAAGAATCTTGTGTTTCACATTAAATAAGAGGAAAACATCCCCAATCAATATTACCATGTGTGCAGTTGAGGTTTAAGGTTTATCTCCGAACCCTAAAATTCGTGGCTTGAATTCCAGCAGGACACACGGCTGAGAATCTCCCACATGGAAGAAATAACTTTTCAGCCTTTGCAAACATATTTTTCGAAAACTGATTAACTGCAGTTAAGCAGAAACATATAATAACAAATAACCGTGGTTCTGACTGGCATTCAGTTTTTCGCTCCAATATTCTCGTGAACAAAATGGTTTATGCATTCCGTCCATTTGTTTATTCGTTATTATATTTATGCTTGCTGATCCGACTCCTTTTCATTCAGTCCACAATTGCATTATCCATACAGTAGTGGAATTTGTAGTATCCTGCTCATCGAATATCTCATAATCATTTGAGCAGTAGAACATTTTAAAGAATTAAACAGTGATACTGGAAAAGAACACAAAACGAAATAATTATGTACGAAAGATCTCAGCTGAACGAGCGTTGTCGCTCAGCAGCCATACTGTCTGGTCTTTGAAGATATCTGACAACATCAGCGGTAACAGAAAATCATGAGGCGGTTGTTCTAACAAAATATTAGTTGTACTGTATTCCGCTCGAAGAAGTAGCTATACTGGTGAACACAAACAGCATCCAAACAAGAATTACTGTTGCTCAACAACCTAAGGGGACAGTTTTTGTACGATAATTAGTTGTTCAACAATGGCCTCCAACAGTTTTCACGTTGGTAATGCTCTACCACGCGCTACGCACGCAGGCACCTGTGATTTTGAGACCAGCAACGACTAAAATTCCACAACTCAGAAAAGATAGAACGTTACATTTGCAAACATAACGGAAAATTAGCAACATTGGTGAAGGCTGGAGAAAGTAGGAAGGTAGAAAATTCCTATTTGAACCGGAACCAACTGCATCAATGTTTGTTTATTTTGTTTGTTTTGTTCTGATCGCATATTATCAGAAAATATACAAAAAAACATGGACACATACGGTTATTTGTGCGCCGTGACAACAGAGCATTCCCAGTGTGTGTAGTTGTTGGTCCTCGAAGCCTGGGAGTCCATAGGGTGTTCCGTCTATAGAATGAACCTCAAATTGTGATATCGCTGGATCAGACTTTAGACTCCTTCATCTCTTGTCTCGTTTTTTTTACCTAAGTAACACTTTGGTTCATTTATTTGATACAGCTGAATTCATTCGTGTGCGCCAGGCTTAAGTGCTATCATTTATGATTTAGTAAGATGTCTCAGGCCTCTGCAAATGTAACCAAGTCGAACAGAATAGAGTTCAGATCACAGGGTAGAATATAACGTTGATGCGTTCCAGTAACTAACAAGATAGACGCAAATAGGGCACATCACGCGGGAGTCATGTGGTTTAATAAGTATTACCACAAATGCGTTCACTGGACCGCTAGGTACACGTGTTTTGTCCAAAATTAGTGCCTGGCGCAGAACCTTCGCTTTCATGAGGTTCGCTCTTTGATTCACTCGTTTGCTATTGATGTTGGTTGGCTGTGTTGATGGGGAACAAGTAAACTTTTGGAATTGTATGCCATCTTCAAATAAGCGATTTTTCTGATTTCAGTTCTACATCAGTTGTTACTCCAAGCAGTCCCTTTGCATTGAAACAAACTGATTTTAAAACATTCCAACTTCTCTTCTGAAGGTGATGCATCACAATCTATTAAAACGGATGTTACATGCTCCAGCCGCGTTATTCGATCGTACACCACTTGGTCGTATCCTGAATCGATTTAGCAATGACATTGAGAATGTTGATCGTACGGTTCCCGATGCATTATCTGAGGTGATCACCTGTGTCGGTGATTTGAGTATTTGTCTGATCGTGGTACTCATCTCGTTAAAACCGCCGGGAATGGGATTGGTCATCGTTATCCCGCTGATGATCATCTGCGGTATTATCCAGTCCCTGTACGTTCCTTGTAGTCGCCAGGTGCGGCGTCTCGATGCAGTGACTCGGTCGCCGTTGTTGGCTAATTTTGGAGAGACAGCTGCTTCCACATTAGGTTGCAGTGTGATGCGAGCTTTTGGGCGTACAGCTGCATTTGTGGAGCATGCGGATGAGCTCATCGATCGTAACGCAGTTCACGGTTACGTGCGATTTGCTAGTAACCGTTGGTTGGATGTGACTTTAACTGTGAGTCAGCATATCTTTTACTTTCCCAGTGCTTGCTTTACACTCTCCCGTGCAACATCCAATGTGTAATATGACCAAAATGAACTCTGTATAATTAATTTATTGACTGAGTATTTGTAAAGCTGCAAGAGAATAGGAGCAGATCTTATTAATTAATTGGTAAGCAAATACCACTCTGCATTGCCGATTCAATTGATATTTCGTGCACCGTGAAATAAACAAAAAAACCTATGGCATGAGGGTAATGGATGATTTCATTCAATTTCATATGGGGAATTCGACGTGTACAAAGTAAGTAAAGCGTGAGCTGAGAAGCTAGGAAACACCGTAAGGCTGTTTTGACCTGGTTGGGTCTCATCAGTAGTGCAATATAGTGTAAATGGTAAATAAAAATGATCTGATCAGCTGTTCGGTGGCCAAGTGAGTAGCATGCTTGCGTCCTGTCTGTGAAGTCCAGGGTTCGATCGACAGTTGGGTCGATGGATTCGCACTACTGATGAAACCTAACCAGGTCAAACTATACCTTTTCCCATCAAGCTTTAGCCAAAAACCGCCATCCTTCAGCCTCGATCCGTAATCCTTTAGCCAAAATCCGAAATGCTTCAGCCAAAACTCACAATCCTTTAGCCAAAACCCTTAGTCCATTAGCCTCAACGCACAAACTTTAGTCACGCCGCAGTAGACGAGTCAGATCAAAAAGCTTCGGAATATTCTGAAGTCAACGAATGATGAGAAAAGTTACTTTCTATAAATGTTGATGCCGCAAAACTTGGTTGAGAAATAAAAAGGTGTGGGGTTGCATGCTGCAACACACGTTGTTTGGGGAAGCTTTAACCGATTTGACCGTATCGTCAAGTAATTTGATACATCTCTTACAGCTTCAGTGTTTCTGTATAACACGCGATACTGTCTGTAGTAAAAATCTCAAGTGTAACTCAAACGACGCATTGTTTTGCATTACCAAGCCTTGAAATAAATCAAAATATATAAGCTTACCTTTTCGTATATTCACTTAAAAGGAACACTGTTTTTGACATATGGGATACATTAAAAGGTCGAGGATAATAAACACTGCTCACAAAAGACCCCTTTAGAACACCGTTCTCCCAAGAAACTGTAGACAAAAAAACGGTAATAATCAAGCCTCGACTGTGGTGTACTTTTACGAACGGTTTGTTATCCTCAGCAGGTTTTTGTATCCCGTTCTGATGAACAGAGTTCACTTGTTACTGCAGAACAATGTGTCGTTTCAGTTACACTTGAGATTTTTACTACGGACAGTATCGCGTGTTATACAGAAACTCTGAAGCTGTACGAGGTGTCAAATGGTTTGACGATACGGTCAGATCGGTTAAAGCTTCTCCAATCAATCTCCAATCCAATGTGTGGCTGCATGCAACCCCCACACCTTTTTATTTCTTAACCAAGCTTTGTAACAGCAACATCTGTAGAAAATAATTTTTCTCAACATCCGTTGATTTCAAAATATTCCTTTACTTTTTTATTTAACTCGCCTACTGCGACGTGACTAAAGTTTGTGCGTTGAAGCTAATGGACTACGGGTTTTAGCTAATGGAATGTGGGTCAAGGCTAATGGATTATGGGTTTGGGCTAAAGCTTGATGGAAAAAGGTGTAGCTGTACAATGCTTCCTAGCTTTTCGGTTCACGCTTCATTGGATCTATACACGATGAATTCCCCATATGAAAAACATCATTGTTGTTCTTGTCAGTTTGGATCTCTGTAATTGTTTTCCACGTCGATCTTGCCTGTACACAAAGGCCCTTCTCTGTTATTATTGTTGTTTTGTTGGTTCTATTCTCGTTCGCCAGCCGCCGATATATATATATATATATATATCGTATGTGGTTTATCCTACTCCGCATCTCCATTTAGCTACCTGATAAAGGCCCGGTGGAGTGATATTTGACTGGAATGCAATAGACGGGTTAACGTGTTAGCATTTGGTGATAATGTTTGCACGCTTAGTATTTTTTTGCCAAGATGCTGCAACAAGCGTATTGGTTGCTTCCCTTGTCTTCTTAGTGCGCGTAAATTTCACATTGAACGAGCATTCTTTGCTTTTATAATTTATATATGACCAAACACTTGCGAACATGTTTATCTAACGAATTTCTGTTTCACTGATTTTTACATCTCTCTTTTCTCGGATCTTCACAGCTGTCTAATCACCTCGTGCTGACAGCGATCACCTGTTTAGTGGTGCTATATCGCTCTCAGCTATCGCCAGGGTTAGCTGGATTGCTTGTGAGTTATGCGTTGGATCTGGAAAGTTGTTTCACCTGGCTCGCTAAACAAATATCTCAGTTTGAAACGAGTGCTGTGTCCTTGGAACGGATATATGAATATACGCGGGTAAGAGTTCTAGTTTAAACGCTTTAAAAATAGGCAGTTGTAAACCGGGAACTGAGGTTTTCCCCTCCCCTGCTTATTGCGATTTCTTATTATTACATCCAAATAGTAACTTCCTTCGTGAATTGGCAGGTCACACTTTCATTTTATGGCTTTTGTTAGCGATCTTTCAGGTACTCAGTTTGTTGAACAATATGGAATAAGTAAATAGAGAAGTTAAAAAGATGAGGCCGGTACAAGGATACAGAGGTGCAGAAGCGAGTAAGTTGATCCATATGGAGAGTGTATAGACACATGATCGCCATAGTTTATGACATTCATTTTTATCTTCCAATGTGTCTTACTTACTCCTCGAAGGAGAAGCTTACCGCGACCTATGTGAACCATCCTCTAGTTGAGGTTATCGTACCCTTTTCATGTCATATTTGTAGTACCATTGGTTTTCTTCGAAATGCTGTCTGCTCGGCAACCATTGCACACGGAGGAAGCCTTTAGTTTAGTGTCTGCCACTAAATACCTTATTCTCTTTCCTCAACCTTGGCCATCCCACCAGACTCCTGTACTTCGACCAAAGTAATAGTAATCTTGTGGGTTACTCTCTATTCTCATCTCTGTAATACAACTGCACCTCTTCAGACGGCACTATCGTTCATTTAGCTATTCACGAACAATCGGATATCGCGTCGGGAAACGGAATGTTTCAAAAAACTATTGTAAACGTTAGTTTTATGCGTTCATTGATGGTCATACTTTATCTTCTGGAGAATTGAAACACTGGGTTCCCGTTATTCCATCACATTAAGACCGAAAGAAGAAACGTGTCGCGATGTGTTAACATTCTCTTTAATCTCCTACGTCCGCGATTAGATCATCCCATATTTGCGCTCCTAGAGGTCATTATTGTGACCAGTTTGTTTGCCATGGAGTTAACCTTTTTTCTAACATAACCCCCATCTACCTGTTTTTTTAAAAATAATTTTACTTCCTTTTTTTATTGAATACACAATGATACCATATTCGAAAGGGGGAAGCGGCCAATCAAAGGGCTGCCATGGGGAAAGTCAGGCGGTGATGGTGGGATTCGAACACACATACCCGGGGTGATAATTTGGTGACGTTACCACCGGGCCACCACCACCCTGTTCTCGTTCGTCCACCAAGATTTACCAACGTAATGTGCTTTACAAATGCCTGTTTGTTTGATGATAGTGACTGAGGTATTTAAACGAAATCTCACGACATTTCTTCCTTTAAGCTTTCTGCATGTGTTAGCATTTTAATCCTCGTTTCGCTCGATTATGAAGTAAATAATATCGTCCATGTTATGAATGGCATTTTATTGAATTTCAGAAATTGTTGAAAAAATGCGCTTCAGACACAATTTATGTCAGTTGAACGGCATAACAACTGTCTGCCCCGATAAAGGTGCATCACACTGGTTATGCCAATACCTGGCCGGATCATTGGAGTCCTAACGCCATTGGTAGTTATGGTGCATCAATAAGTAAATTCGGAATTCTCTTTCTACGTTTATTGTTCCCCCTTTAGGAAT